TTTCATGCCATCATGCTTTCATTTTTCTACACTTACTCCTACACATACATTCCTAAACATGGCGGTTCAACAAAAATTAAAACAGTCTCTTGGGGAGAAAGAACACAAGCAACAAAACCCCAAGAGAGGATTATGAGTTGGGTTACTCAAACTTCACCTTATCAGTCACAATCCATTTACCCCACCCCCAGCAAAATAGAGTGCGATTGTCCCCAATGCACAAAAATTAAGATAGAAAGGAATGGGTGAGCAAACCTGTGGCGCATAGGCGCTGAAGACCTCTCAACAAGCGGGTGAGTTCGGTTTCCCAAAACTCGCTAGATCAACAATCGGGTCACCCTCAGTAGTGCCCGCATCAACCGTCTCAGCACCCTTAGTAGTGCTAACATCAACCCTCGCCGCACCATCCGTAGTGCTCATGCTGCTAAAGGCACCAACACCAATCTCCCTAGCCCTCTGGTGCCGCAACTCCTCATCAATGATGGATGCTCTCCGGGCCGCCTCAAGCTCCTGGTGCTCCCTCTTGCGAGATTTCCCAGCCTCAGTGCCATCAAAAGTCTGACTAGAGCGGGGGTTATTCCTAGCATGACAGAAAGAAACAGGCGACGGTATCTCCTCTCCGAATAATGCATCCAACACCGTATTTTCAACCGGTGCTGTGGGGGATGACTTAGGCTCAGTCTTTGGTGGAGCTAGGAGGGCATCAAGATCATCTCGGAGACTGGCTAACTCCGTTTGGAAAGAAGAAACATCAATGGTGGGGGCTGGTTGCTCTGAGATGCGCAACTTAAATGCATCAAGGCGTTGGTGAATGGCTTGAACCTTATGGTCCATCATTTGCTCCATCCGCGCCACAGACTCTGCTATCGATCTCTGTATCAATGGCTTCACATGTTGGAGAAGTGTGGCCATCTGAGCCTCCAACTTTTGTACACGATCTACAGGCACGGCAACAGACCCAGAGGAGGGGGTGGCTCTTGAGGAGCTAGGGGCCTGACTAGCAGCCTGAGAATGGGAACTCGGGGTATCCTTAGTAGTAGTTGGAGGGGCAGGCTCCTCACCCTGCATCTGCTCGACATCTGCTACCAAGTCCGCTCCCGTTGGTGGCACCTCAACCTACGACTCTCTGCGAGGTGCAGCGACATTGGCTTCATCCCGAATCAGAACGATATCTAAAGTCTTGGTTGCCTGCTGCAGGTTATTACAGTGCCAAACCGTTACTCCAGCATCCCTGCACAACTGGAAAATGAGGCATGTGAAGGGTAAGGTGGTGGTGGACTTGAAGGTCCTCTCGTGTATCTCCGCAATCAGTATGCAGGCAAATTTCATCTCTAACCCTGCAACTAAGGTTGCAACTATAACCACGCGGTGTTATTATTAGTTCTGGAATCTTATTTTGATTACTCGATTGAATAAAATTGGGTGTCTTTGCACATTGTTCAGAAAGGGAAAGATCAAGTCTTGAATTAACTTTTGATTGAATTGAAGCAAGTGATTTCTAAACCTTTTAAAACTAGTACAATTGTTTATTTCCCTTCACTGTGTGTGTTGGGGAGTAATGGGAATGACGTGACGTGTTCAATTATTTTACTTGCTTTATCTTAATGAATAAAAGTGGGATTAATGAAAGAGGCAATGTGTTGATCATAGTTATTTGTGAATTGCCTTGCTGTGGACCCTAAATGTGTTGATTAATGAAATGCTTTGATAGCATTATTATGGACTTTAATTGTTTGAGTTGTTGTCTCTTTATTATGGTGTGAAATTTATTATTCGCATTGATTTCCTTATTTCCTGATGAGATATGTGATGATCATGCCGACGAAAAATGGTTCCAGCAAGAGATATGCTATAAAATCGAAGGGAAATGGTTCCAGCTAGCGATATGATATAAAAACCTAGGGAACTGGTTTTGGCTACTGATATTATACTTAAGGGAGATGATTCGGGCAAGTTATATGATAAAATTTAAGTGACAAGGTTCCAGCTAGTGATATAATATAAAGGCGAAGGAAAAATGGTTCCAACTAGTGATATTGTACCGAAGAGAAAAGGTTTCGGCAAGAGTTTGATCTACTGGATACTTGTAATAGATCTACTTGATACTTGAGAATTACTTACTTGGTACGTGTGATTGGCATACTTGAAACTTATTGGTTGTTGAACTGTGATTGTTGGACTATGATTGTAAGCCATGGGAATTATGTATTGCAAAATTGTTAGGTTGGACTGATTTATGCAGGTTGTAATTTGAGGAGTTTCGGTTTGGATGAAAGGAATACTCGTATTCTAGAATAATTTTGCTTTATTTAGTAGTTTCTTGCCGTGTCCAGTGTTGTTCGGTACTCACTCCTTGCTTCTAAACTTATGTAGGTTCCGAGCCTAGATCCGTGTAATTGCTCTTCTTCTTCTCCCTCCTCCGTGGCTCAATAAGGATTCTTAGAGGTAGTTGCTTGTCATCCTGGGGGACCCTCTTCTTCCTTTATGTTTATGCTTTCTTCTATTTGAGAAATAAAGGATTTTGAAACATGTAATTATATTTCAATTCTATTTTAATACATTTGTGAATTGAACACGTGACAACAAGGTTTTGGGTTATATTATAATGACTAAGTTTTTTGCTCCTTTATTTATCTTGTCTTCCTTTTCGCATTTGTTAGCAAATTTTGGGTTTGAGGCTGACTTGTCGTAGTGGGTTAGACGCTGCAATCTCTTCCATTTTTGAGTCGTGAGACTAATTTATTCTTAATTTTGTCATGTAATTATAGAAACTACCAATACCTATTCTTAGGATCTTATTAAGGTGGTTCTTAATTCAGTTTTATCTGGTTTGTGAGTTCTTAAGATGCTATTGTCGAGAGAGGAATTTGTTGCTACCTTGTGATTGAATCTTTGGTTGTTGAATATAATCATGTCTCTTAATCCTTCTTGGAGATATACAGTTTGGAAATATGCGGATTGAGAGCTTTGTCTCTCTGTTATCAAGGGTTTTCTCTTTAATACTCCCTTTGTCCCTAATTACTTGTCCACTTTTGAATTGGCACACCTATTAAGAAGACAATAATTGATATAGTGAGTTTATCATTTTACCCCTATTAATTATGAATTGAATGAATTAAAAACTTAAGATTTTCAAGAAATTCTACATTTTTCAAAGTAATAAATTGAGGGTATAATAGAGAATTTTTTTTGTCCTTTCTCGATTTGTCAAAATGGACAAGTAATTAGGAACAACTTAAAAAGGAAAAGTGGACAAGTAATTTGATACAGTCGGAGTATAACTCTAGGCCATGTTTAGGAAGAGGCAACTCTTTTCAAACATGGACTTAGAAGAGAAGGACTAAAAATTATTGGGGCCATTGTGGGGTGCTGCCATGATGGACAAGGGACAACTAGAGCTATAACTGTCAAGGGACTGCAATAGTGGTCAAAGATAGTCCTTTCCTGGTTACTCCCATGTAAGTGAAATATATTTTTCCGCCAAGGCGGGTCGATCCCTGCTTTACTCGACTAGATAGACCCAATTTTAGACTCAAGAATTTTACTGCGGGTATTTCTTAAAATGAAAGGATGGATCATTACATTTAAACGAGTTTAACTAAACACATAAACTCAATAAAATTGTAGTTCTTTCTTCCCCTCTCGTATAAAGAGATAGACATTAGTTAGAAAGAATCAAAGAAATATATATATATATATATGGATCCCAATATGGTTAATATTTATCATACTGACTATAAAAGGAGATTTTTTTCATCAGAGTAATAAATGTACATATTCATTTGATTAAAATTTATTGAGACATCTTCAAATAATTTCTCCTCATCTCGAGTATTTTTCTTAAAATGAATAAAAATTATCTTTTCATTTTAACACTATTGTAAACACATCATTGTGGTAAGTGTTTTGTGAAATTATTTCAGATTGACTTGTCTCAAAACTAATATAGAAATATATATAATGTGAATCGAGTGATAGGTTGGTGAGTATCTGACATTAAGAAAAACATACTTAAGCAAGATTTAGTTTCAAATATATTTGAAAGCAACATAATTTTTTAACTAAGTATGGTTTATCCAAAATGGAAGAAAATAATAATGTGCTTCGACAAGCGATGTAACTTCTTCAATCATACATATCTCACCATTGAAGATTTAAAAAATATTTGTGTTTGTTAAATTAACCATAAAAATTGAATATTTTTAAGCATATTAATTTATATTTCAATATTCCTAACCAATATATAAATGTTCCCTTGTTTGAATATTTAATTATGTACATCCTTGAATCAAAATATACTTTTTATTTTTAAAAAAAACTCGATGAAGGAAATGAGTAAACAAATACATTTGCAATAAATTTATGACCATTCTCTATACACTACTTAAATTTAAGGGAAAATGGTCTGAAAAATACTCCAACTTTGGACGAAATTGCTATTAATATACCAAACTTTTTGGAACACCATTTACCCCCTGCACTATTTAATAGTGTATTTTAAATGTATATATGTGCCCACGTGGACACATTACTATTTAAAATGATGCAATATTTATGATGTCCACGTAGGCACATAGATACCTTTAAAATACACTATTAAATAGTACAGGGGGTAAAAGGTCCTTTCCAAAGTTTGGTATCGTAACAACAATTTGGACCAAAGTTGGAGTATTTTTCAGACCCCTTTCCCTAAATTTAAACCACATTAATATTTTTCCTAATAAGTTGGTCAACATAATACCAGAGCCATAAGTAAATATATTTTAAGATGGTTCTATCTAACTTTTATCTAATATCCCCTAATTTAATGTTTTTCCAAAATAGTTCTTGCTAGCAATAAACAAAATTCTATTTCAAACTTTTAAAATTATACAGAATTAAAATTTTCTCTATAAATAGGAGTCAATCCTAGGTAAGAAAATCACAACTACTACTGCTACTACAACAAAACCATTTTAACACTCATATCCAAACAAACACATTTCTCCTCCCCTTTAGCCATGACTAGAAACAAAGTGAACTATGCTTTCATTGAAGATGATAGTAAAAGAAAAATCTCATATAATAAAAGACTGAATGGGCTCTTGAAAAAATCTGATGAACTAAAAACACTTTGTGATGTTGAAGTGGCTACAGTCATATATGGCACTTATAGAAATGAACCATATACATTTCCAAATAATGATGTTGTACGCAACGCTTTTATAAAGTTTAAGGAGTTGCCGACATTGGATAGATCTAAAAACATGGTGACAAGAGAAGAGTTCACCATGCAAAGGATCAAGAAGTTGGAGGAACAACTTCAAAAGGTAAGAAAGGAAAATAGGGTCAAGGAAATGACAAATGAAATGTATGAGGTGTTCAAGGGAAAAACTGTTTCTGTTGACATGAACCCTTCCTATCTCAACGACCTACGTTGTGTAATCAAGAAGAATCTCAAACAAGTACGTGAACTAATGATAAAAGAGGCTAATGGAGAGGGTTCTACATCGAATGCCCCTCAACCCATTGTTGAACAACTCTGAAGGACCAACAGATCCTTCTCTTCTATTGTTTTCACAAATGTTTCCTCCAATGGTTCCACAATTTTTTCTCCAATGCTTCAACACATGGCTGTTGGAAAAACACCTGGACTGACCAATTCAATGCCGTTAACAATAATGGATTTTCCGATTCCTTCACCAGGGATGGATTCTCTTATGCCTTCACCAATGATTGATTCTCCGATGCCTTCATTAATGATGGCTCCTCCAATGTATTCTCCAGTGTCTCTTACAATGAACCAGGAAATGGAACTTTCAATGGATATCCCTTCAACTGGTATATCAACGTCAATGAATAACAATCAGAATTCCTCTGTTGACTTACCAGATAGTCCTACAATTTCTGGGTTTCTCAATTGGCAGGATGATGTGGTGATGACTTTATTGGATGATCCCTTTTTAAAAAATAATAATGTGCAAGATCCAAACCACACCAAAAATTTCTAAGGACCAATGTGTGTATTTTTAATTAGAACTATTTTCTATGTACATATGGTCAAATGGAGTATTTATGTCGTTTACTATTTCTCATATCTAAATTGTGTCGTTGGACACTCTGAGTAAGTTTCCTTTCGTCCTCCTTTGAAGTGTCCTTCTGTCGTATTCCTTGATTTGTTTCAAAGTTTGTAGTTTCATTCACTTATTAAATCGATGGTCAATTATTTTAATTTTTATTAGATACTGATTTATTTATTTTTCATTTATTACTATTATTATTGAAATGTTGTTGTTAGTATAATTTACTAAAATAACCTCTTACACTTCAAAATCTAACAAACCAATTACATATAGGGTAAAATTTTACTTTTAAACTTTCTGGTGTAAAGTAGTAACACTTCTAATAATACAATTGAATTAAAAAAATATAATTAATTGTCTTATTTAATATACCTATATATTTTTTTAAAATATGGTGATATTAAAAGATTAATTAATTTTGTAGCTTTTGTATGTTAAAAACTTCAAAAGTTCTATTTTAACTTAATTTTTAGAATTGATGTTTGCACTCCCAAAACAGAGAATTAGATCAACACATTTATATTTTGGCGCCGTTTTTCTCATTTTTTTCTCCCTTCATAAAGTACAGAAATTCTTCCTATGTTCGAAGTCTATTGGACAAAATAAATGTATCCCCTACATTAGGAATATAATTTTTTGTGTTTATTTATCAATTGGAAGTCACAAATATTCAGATAAGCAAAAAAAAATAAGGCAAGAGAGATTATAATAATATATTAATAGGTAAGAACTGAACTATGACGGTTAATAATACACAAAATTTAATATAAAAATTGAGATTTAAAAATATCCTAAGGTTACTGAAACATGTTGGTGAATGTTTTAAGCTTGTTGAAATATTTTTTTATGATGTTCATTTTACTCGAATAGGCATGTTTATGTTGTGATAATTTTTCTTGTTTGGCCATGTACTGTTAATTTTTAAGAATGGTTGGTCTGTATATTTATTTTTGGTTATGCATATTCATGCGTTATAGTATGTCTTTTAGGTTTTATTTATACTTAGATCTTTCTCAATAGTTGTCTTAATTGTAAAATCGGGTGACTTGTGCAATTAGTGATTTGCTAGAGACAAAGTCAATGTAAGATACTATGGATAGTTTGGTTGATAACAGGTGACTGATATGATCCAAATAAATTAAGTCAATTTTAAAATGATCCATGATATTGAGTGTTAATGTTTTCATTAAGTTGTTGTCAGTCCTATAGAGTTTAATGCGCCAAGTTGGTATTGATAGTTGTTTTCTGTTTGGTTGACATTTTCCATGAGTGGTGAGTGTGTGTCTTCAACTTTTCATTTGTCGTACCCCAGATGTCCTAATTGACCTTAAAATGAGTATGTATGAATTAGCTGAGAAATACATAATGGACAAGCTTATGATACTATGTGTGTGCATGTTGACATCTTCCTGAGAGTGAGTGTTTGATTCTGAATCTTAAATTCTCTAGTTTCATTTATACTATATATTTCGGAGATCCTCTTTTCCTGAGTTGGCCCATATAAATAGAAGAGGTGATTACCATCGTCAAATACTTTTGATGAAATAATACATAGGTTGTATGAATGATAATGAAGCTTAAATGTTGTCATGCGATAAACTGTCGCTTCTATGATTCAAGTCCGTGTCAAGTAGAATTCTTGCTAGGTAGAAGAGTGAAGTGTGAGTCTGTATGATGTTGATGTTTCGTACTCCTTGAGGATAAGAAGTAGTTTATGTTTTTTGTGATTTGATAAGTTTGTGTTTTACGTACCTGTAAGTTTCTAAGCTTAAACTATTGTGTTTTCAAAGAGAAAAAAAGGCATTTACTATGTTTAAGCCTTGAAAAGTAGGTTTTCATAATTTACTGGCGATTGAGTAGAAACAAAGTAAAAAGGTTCAAAGCTGAAAATGATCAAATAGTCTGTTACCATAAAGTGATGCTGATGTCTTCGGATGTCGACATGCAGCTCCACATCATTAACTTACTGAATTTCAACTAGAGGAAGAATGGTCGCTATAAAAGGTTGGTGTGTGGTAAAGAGATGCGGTACAATTCTTAATCTGGGGATGCATCTCACCTACATTTCAAATTAATTCAAAAGCGACAATTTCACCATACTACTTGATATGGGCATCATTTGTTACTAAAGCAACAAATGCAGTGATGCAGTGCGTGTGTGAGACCTAATTTTAATGACCCGGCCAATTTTTTTTGGAAATTTTTGTAAAGTATTTATTTTACCCCTCCCGATATTGGCCCCGAATCGAACTCAGATTTGTGTGTCGATGATTCCATTTTGTACAAAATGTCAAGTTTAGTCAATTTTCACATATGATTTGTATATACAGGATTCTAAACGAATCCTGATGGTCCTTTCGATGTTTTGAGAGTTGGTTGATTTTTCTGGTCCATGAGTTATATACCCTTCACGTTTGTGATAGGCCTTTTGCTTAAGCGACCTTCACTTAAGCGAAAGCATGATCTCTAAAGCGAAGGACGAACTTTAGCGGGGTTAGCTTAAGTGAGCCAAGGGTTTCTTTAGCGGTGATCACTTAAGCAGAGCGTGGTTTATAGAAGTGATACCCCCACTTTAAAAGTTTATTTTATCATATCACTTAGTATAATGAGTTCAATGATGAGTAAGTATTTGTAAAGTTCAAATGATTTCACTCATTTATTTCTTTACATTCAAATTAGTATATATTTATATCTATTGTAGTCCTTTCATTCAGTCATTTTGCATCGGCAATATTACGTACTCGTACAATCAATGTGTTGATGTCATTCGACCTGCATCTATTTATGATGCAAATATAGGTGTTTAAATCATCAATAGACACTTCGTTGAGATCAGTTTGCATTCCCAGTTAGCTTTTGGTGAGTCTCTTTGCATTCTACAGGACTCAACTTTTATCTTTTAGTTAGTTGTTTGAAGTGTTGTGGGTCTTTTCTTGACATCTATATTGAACAATAGAGGCTTCATATATAGTTAGTTTTGAGTAGGTTTTAGTATTCCTTTCTGAACTATTTTTTTACCGATTATTGTAATCAGAATATTTTGAGACAATTGAGTACTCTGAGGTTAAATAGTTTAATTGTGTTTTAAAGCTCAATTCTGCTTGAGTTAGTCTTTAGCTAAGTAGCCAACGACCAAGGTTTCGTTTGTGGATCATCATGGTTCTCGAGTGCCGGCCACGTTCAAGGTGTAGGTTTGGTTGACAGTTGGGATTTTTATTGGCAAATGACAAGGTTTTTCAAGAACATGAGTTCTAAGCTAAAATGGTGATTGTTCACTGATTTTCACTCCTTTATCAAAATGGTTTTCACCAATGAGTTCCAAATGTCTTGAGAAACATATTCAAGTAAATATTTTTGGATTCAAACCACATTTTTGGAATTGGGTTGTTCAATTGATTTGACCCATTTCTCAAAGTGAATGATTTGGATGTTATTATTAGTTCTGGAATCTTATTTTGATTACTTGATTGAATAAGATTGTGTGTCTTTGCACATTGTTCAGAAAGGGAAAGATCAAGTCTTTAACTAGCTTTTGATTGAATTGAGGCAAGTGATTTCTAAACCTTTTAAAACTAGTAGAATCATTTATTTCCCTTCATTGTGTGTGTTGGGGAGTAATGGAAACGATGTGATGTGTTCAATTATTTTACTTGATTTATCTTATTGAATAAAAGTGGGATTAATGAAAGAGGCAATGTGTTGATCATAATTCTTTGTGAATTGCCTTGTTGTGGACCCAAAATATGTTGATTAATGAAATGCTTTGATAGCATTATTGTGGACTTGAATTGTTTGAGTTGTTGTTTCTTTCTTATGATGTGAAATTTCTTTTTCGCATTGATTTCTTTATATCGTGATGAGACATGTGATGTTCATGCCGACGAGAAATGGTTCCAGCAAGAGATATGATATAAAACCGAAGGAAAATGGTTCCAGCTAGTGATATGATATAAATTCGTAGAAAACTTATTCCTGCTAATGATTTTATACTTAAGGGAGATGGTTTCGGCAAGTTATATGATAAAAATTAAGTGAAATGGTTCCAGCTAGTGATATAATATAAAGGCGAAGGAAAAATGGTTTCGACTAGTGATATTGTGCCGAAGAGAAAAGGTTTCGGCAAGAGTTTGATCTACTAGATACTTGTAAAAGATCTACTTGATACTGGAGAATTACTTACATGGTACGTGTGATGGGCATACTTGAAACTTATTGGTTGTTGAACTGCGATTGTTGGACAAGCCTTGGGAATTATGTAGTGTAAAATTGTTAAGTTGGACTGATTTATGCAGGTTGTAGTTTGAGGAGTTTCGGTTTGGATGAAAGGAGTACTCGTATTCTAAAATAATTTTGCTTTATTTAATAGTTTCTTGCCGAGTACAATGTTGTTCGGTGCTCACTCCTTGCTTCTAAACGTATGTAGGTTCCGAGCCTGGATCCGTGTAATTGCTCTTCTTCTTCTC